AAGCTTATTTTTCTTCAAAAAAGTATATAACCTTTGTGCAATTGTTCTCTTAAGTATTTTAGAGAATGTTGAAAGTATTGATATTGGTCTGAAGTTACTTAATAGACTTGTTTCTTTTGATATAGATTTTACTACAGCAGTTTTGAGTTTTTCAGGAAAAAAAGAGCGTTTAAAAATTTTGAATAAAGGAACTTTAAGCTCATTGTAGCAGTTAATTACATTGACACCTTTGATTTCAGTTGCCTTGTTTCTTTTTAGGCTTTTAAAAGCCTCATCAGTTTCTAGCATGGTCAGTTTTTTTTTTATTTAACTAATTTTTATTACAACTTAAATATTTATCAAAAGATTTATTTACACAAAATATTATTATTACAGAAATGCAAGTTTAGATCTAATATTAACAAAGAAGATGCTAAACTCATTGGCAATGTCGTTTTCATTATCAATTGTTTATGATTTTTTACAATATTAAGAAAGTATAGTTTGTTATTTTTTGGTTTAATAATTGCTATGTTTTTCTGGAAATTGTTTGACATTTTTTACTTATTTTGTTATAATAACTAGCTTTAACAATTTTTTTAAATTTTCTCAAATAAATTTGCAATTTTCTTATTTCTGATTTTGTTTTATCCCTTTTTTCAGTGGTACTTTATATATGTTAACTCAGTGGTACTTTATATATGTTTTTTCAGTGGTACTTTATATATGTTTTTTCAGTGGTACTTTATATGTTGTTTCAGTGGTATTTTATATATATTTTTTTTTATAGTAGTACTTTATATATTCTATTTCCGCTTCGATGACTTTTAAAAACCTTTACTTAACCAAAGGTCTTTGATTTATTTATTTTTTTTTTTTTTTTTTTGTTACTTTGGGAAAGTGTTTATCATAAAAAATTGAAGGTAATTAATTTATTGAGTCTGTAAGTTTGCAATTTTTATGTTTTATTTAGACTCACAGAGGCTCAGAAACCTCAAAATGTGAGATTTTAAATATTTTAAAAAGTCTATATTTACTAAAGGTAGCCTTAAAAAAAAGGTACATCTGGTACCGCCTTAAATTTACAATAAACATTTCACTAATGCTAAAAAAATAAAAAAGCCAAATTTTAACTGCATATTTTAACTGCACCTATTTGCACCTTATTGAGCTATGTTTAAAAGTCATGAAGGTAACCATAGTTAAATTTCCATTTGAAATTTTATTTATTTTAAATCAATATCAAGTTTTAATTAAAAACATCGAGATTTTATTTTGCTCTAATTATAGAGTAAGAACTTCTTTTGAATCAAAGTTATTTTTTATCATAATATATATAAATATTGAGCAAAATATTATAAAATAAACAGAAGTAAAATAAATAAAATCTTTGTCTATAAAATTTTATGTGCACAATGTAAATTCTGTTATGTATGAAATACGATAGCAATCAAGAAAAAATCAATTTTGTAATGATACTAAATTTGAAGATTTAAATAAACTGTTAGTAAGAAGTTTCTTTTGTATTTCTTTTTGTAAGATCCGAGTTAGACAGATTAAAATTTGTATAAAAAGCATTGAAGTAATCGTGTATTTTTTTTCATCGACTAGCTGAGTATGAAGAAAAGTGAAAGTTGTAAGTAATCGAATACATTGAGAAAAACATACGAGTCAGACACTTACGAAAAATAAGAACTAAGAAAACTTTACCCAACAGCGGAGAATCAACAAACCAAGTTACAATGGTTTGTAACTTGGTTTCATCGCTCTTCCTTTTATGCACATGAATAAATATAATTGAGTGCAAATTGCATCTAGGCTAAAAATCCAATCTCTTAAAATAATATTTGGTAAAGTAATTTTTTTAAATAATGTTTAAGTAAAATTTTATTTTATGTAAAAATAAAATGCTGACTAAAAAATTTTTATAATAAAAAGTTATAAAAAACTATAAAAACATTTTTTTTAATTATAACTGATCCTCCTCATTAGTTGTATTTTGATCAATTTTTCTTTAAAAAGAGGTATTATAAATAAAAAACATTTTTAAATCTTTTTCTTTTTTTAGATTCATGAATCCAAATTTAATTCTTCGCAAAATTGAACTCACTTTATTTTAAAAATAGATAAAACCGTTTATCACCATCAATGGTCAAATTCCTTATAAGGAGTTTAACTAGTGATTTTAACTAAAAAATTGTATACTGTAGTGTAGTAATAGTGTAATTGTATAGTTGTAGTGTAGAAAATTTATTTAACTATAGTTAAAATTATTTATTTTTTTTAAATAATATTCACCTATCTAAGGCCAAAAAGACTACTCCAGTCGAGAAGGCTACGTTTTTTTCCATTTCGTTTTATTGTGGTTACAACCCTCTCACTACTCTTTGAGTCCGAAAAAAAACATAGACTTTGACAAACAAGGCTGCTGCTTGGAAAAGCAAGCTGAGCGTGTCACTACCAGGGATGTATTATGATCGAATTCTCTTAAAACCCGAGCGCTCTACCACTACACCACTACCGCACAAACAACTTTTGCAAACAACTTCATAAAAACTTTCTCTTTTTTGTCAGTTATTTTAATTTTTTTAACTAAATATAAAATTTTCTTAAAGTTCATCATAAAAATTAGTTAGTCAATCAAAAAAATTTCCAAAAAGCATTTTTTATTAATTACTATTTTTTCCCTTTAATTAGTCACATTTTCGTCATACTCGCGTTATAATGAAACCCAACCTCACAGAATATCGTTTTAATTATTTTTTTTTAGATTGGAACCCACATAAAATTCTTTAGCAAAATTAACCCTCTTCATGTTTTTGAAATTGAAAAAAAAAAGTTTTTTTTAAGGCAAATTAAGTTTTCAAAATCAATTATATTTAGATTAATTACTAAAAACTTATTCCAGATATGAGGTGCAAAATAAGTCATTTTAAATTGCTCAAGCAATTTTTAGGATAGAGAGGTTTTAGTTGAAGAAATTGATACTGACCGGACTGAGAGTGCACCAAATAATTTCAAAATGCTTTTTTCTGGCGCATATTCTGACTTAGATGAATTTGATGCTGCTTTATTTGCTATTGAAGAAAATTTGTAGGAGAAAAACCTCATTTTTAGTTTAACCGTAGAGTTAGCTGTTAGAAGAATACCAAATAGAATTGAAGAACGTGTATTTTTGTCGTTTAGCAAAAAAAAAAGTTTATCACAAGGTGGTAACTTGTCACCTCAAGGGCGGATCCATTAGGGAGTGATGGGGGCGATTGCCCCCCCCCTCCTTAGAAAGTTTTGAAAATTATTTTTTGTAAGTTTAAATATTAAACACAGCAAGTTGTTTGAAAACGGAAATAATATAGTTAGGCTGTCTAAATAAAATTACAACTTTAATAAAGTTATTTAGTGCAAATTCAAAATTGTGTGATTGCTTGCTTACAAATCATTAAATCTGAAAATCACCCCTACTTACTAGATTGTCTACACCCGCCAAATCAAAAATTATTTAAAATCTTACCCCCTCCCCCCTTACGTCTGGATCCGCCCTTGCGTCACCTCAATGCCAAAACAAGTATAAGCTTATTGGCAAACAGTAGAAAGAAAGAGGTAGCAGAGCTTATTACTCATCCTAATTGATTTCAAAGTTATTTAATTCAGAATGCAAAAATGTGCATTTCTTATTAAAAATAGCGCATTCATTTAAGAGAGATTTTCATCGAAAACCTTAAACTTCAGTAAAAGGGTTTTAAAAACGGGGTTTAACATATAGAAAATGTTTTATCTGGATGAAAAATTACTAGATAGTTAGGTTCAATTAGTTTTAAGACGGAATGATGCATATATTTTTTTAAATAATTAACAGTGTAAATAAAAAATTTAATGCGCAACCCTTAAACTGCAGTGTAACAGTTTAAGAATTGCACATTAAATTTTTATTATAATAAAAATTATATACAATGTGTCGTTTTTGTAGGATGATGAATCTCTAACACAAAATATTTTGGATAACTTTCAATTAAGCTTTTGCTTTAAAGTCTTCTTTATACATAATTCTATCATGCTTTGACTTTTATAAGTACTTCGACTTTTAATATCATATATTAAATTTGGAGAGTTAGATTTTAAAGCTTATATTTTAAACTCAAGTGATTAGTTTATCAAATGTACAAAAATGTATCAAAATTTTGCTGAAAGCTGTAAAATAATATCGCTTTTAATAAATAAATCAATTTTCATTGGTATAAAATTTTATAAAATTTCGCAAAAATTTTCATAATCTATAGTTCGATAATCGAACTGTGTCAAAATTTGTTTTGGTCTTTGTCTTTTATTTAATTAAACTTCGATTAAATGAATTTTTTTTAAAGGATTAAAAATTTTCTTTTTTTTTTAATTAATAAAATTAACAGAAATTAACTAAAAAATTTTTTGATTCGTTTATTTTCAACGGGAATATTTTGTTATTTTATTATTTAATTTTTTAACTTAACAGATGTTAACGGTAATGGGCGGTAACGGATGGAATTACAGGACGAAACAATCAAAGGTCTATGCTCAGGGATCGTCCATAAAGTACATACGCTCGAAGGGCGAGAGGTGGTCTGCAAGTAGCGTATATGATATAAAGGGAAGAGGGGAAATTATAAAATTAAGGAGAAACTAAATTTAAAAAAATGTCATAAAATGTTGTCTAGATAGGTTAATAGCGTAGGTACTTTTAGGGAGGTAAAGGGTACTCAAAAAAGCGTATAGGAAATGTGAGGGGAGGATCGAAATAACATAAAGGCGAGTTTCCACTCATCCGTTTTTCTACGGGAACAGAAAAAATAATCACGTGAGCATGCGTAATAAAAGTTTACATTTGTCCGAAAGATAACTGCGCATGTTCACTTGATTATTTTTCCGTTTCTCTTTTCTTTTCCCGTTGAAAAATGGATGAGTGGAAACTCACCTTAATAAGCGTACGACGACAACTTAGTTAAAACTTTTGACATTAGTATGTTGGAGGACCGTATTGGACTGTTATAAAGGATAATATTTTGTTGTGCGTCGCCATGGCGTTCTCACACTTTAAAATTACTGTTTTATTTTAATGCTTTTGAGACATTAGTGTTATGATAGATTTATATGAGATTGCGATATTTAATGCTTTCATGTACTATTTAGTGTCTTGTTTGCAGAAATTGGCCTTAACTTAATTAGTAAGTATTATTATGTATAAGTATATATATATATATATATATATATATATATATATATATATATATATATATATATATATATATATATATATATATATATATATATATATATATATATATATATATATATATATATATATATATTAAATGTATACTAATTATTTATCATAATAAAAAAATCATATAGTATCTGAAAGAAAGAAAAAAGAACCAACACCAGATTATTAAAAGCATTATAATAGAAAATAAAAATTTTAATTCCCATGACATGGGAATTAAAATTTTTATTTTCTATTGTAAATATTTTTAACCATTTTCTATTAAACATGTTTAACCATTTTCTATTAAAAACATGTTTAACCATTGCAGAACATGAACATATATATAAAAAATTAATATAAAAAAGCTCATGTTTAACGATTGCAAAGCATAAACTGTACATGGGCCATGTACAGTTTATGTTTTGCAATCGTTAAACATGAGTTTTTTTATATTAATTTTTTATAAATATGTTCAAGTTGTGCAATGGTTAAACATGTTTTGTTTTATATCAAAGTATTTATCCCACCAACAATAATATATTTAACATACAAAAATCCTAATAGGATTTTTAGGAATAGGATTCCTATTGCATTCATAGGTACATTTATAGTTGAATGAAATTGAATGCTTACTAAACTTCTGAGTTTTAAAATGGTAACTGAGCTTTATGTGATTGTTTTTCGTTCTATATAAAATATGAATGTATTAGTCTAGTTATTTAGTCATATTAGTCTAGTTAGTTACCATCTCAATGATATAGTTCAAAGTCTACAACAGGGTTCCCACCAGTCCTGGAAACTCCTGTAATTTTAATGATTGCATTGATGTATAGTTTGAATAATTTTAAAAGTATGAAATATTAGAGATTCTAAATTCTTTTGGCTCGTAAAACGTTTATGTTTTATTTTGTTTTCAGATAAAATAATTAGAAAATGCCTAAAAATAAATGTATTTTTCAAGTAAAATAGCTTGTTAAAGGAAAATATAGACATTGGTTGCATAAAAAAACAGAAACTGTTGTGATTTGCAGTTATTGCCCTAAAGATATTAATATTGCTAATACAAGAGAAGCTGCTTGAACTTCACACATGAAAGGTGTGAAGTTAAAGCAGCAAAAAAAAGTCTCCTTCTGCTAACAATATCAAGTCAGGGTTATATATAACAATATCAACAATATTAATGCCAACTTTTCATAACACTGTTCAAGTTTATGAGTATATTGATGGCATTATGGACATCTGTGTTAAGTGCCACAGATGCCATCGATATGTCAGAATACTCAAATACAGCAGAATACCAAAAAACAATTAATAAAATGCTAATAAATACATCTACACTTGAAGCTGAAGTTTGTTGGGATCTTAATATTGTGTATGCTAAATATTTATTGAATTCTTCAACTGATTCTGTTAAATTATTTATTAAAATGTTTCCAGATAGTGACAATGTTAAATTGTTTCAATGTGGACCCACCAAGGCCAGTTATCAGATTTCAACATTTAGATTAGCTCCATTTTTCAAAAATTAGTTGCTACCTTCCCTATCTAATACACCTTATTACACTGTTTCATTTTATTAATCCATGAACCACGTTTTTTAGTCAAATGGATCTTTTAATTAGTTTTTTGGATGACAATATAAGTATGGTAAAAATTCGTTATCTTAAATTAGTTAATGGGGCGCTTAACAGCTAAATAATCTGTTAAAAGCAATGTGGCAACTTTTACATACTTTCATAGTAGAAGAGCAACTTACAAAAACATCACTTGGATTATCCAATGCAGTCGACATAAGTGGTGTGAAAATAAAAAGCTCAAAAGGCTGAATTACTGCTTGGTGGATACAAGAAAAGCAAACAGCTTGATTCAAAAAATAAAAGCTAGTAGAGACTGAAAGCCATGGTTCTCAATCCTGTTTTGTCAGCTAAATGTAAATTTTTTGAGATGGTTTCTAAAAAGTTTAATAGTTTTTTGAGATGATTTTAAAGAGACAAACCTATGGTTCCGTTTATGGCTATTATACTTGATGAAATTGTTGACAACTTTCTCAGAAACTAAAAGACATTTTGTATAAGTGTAGTAATCTATTTCAGCAGCCTCAAATAAATTTGATGGACAAAAATGTTAGAAAGCTTATAAATGCAATTGATATTGGTTTTGCTTCTTGATTAAAAATTGATGAAGTTAGTTTAAGTTACATTGATCAAAGAGTAATTATATTTAAAAAAGAGCCAGGCCAGTTATTAGCTGGTCTGTTGTCACATCTCTTTAAGAAGTCTCCTTTTAAGTTTGTCATAATACGCACTGCAGTATCTATTAACCCAATTTTTATTTCAAATCCGATAAAAAGAATATTTGTATCAATAATCTTTCAAATCTGTTGTAAAAGTTAGTTAAATATGGCCTTTTGTCACCAAAGTCTGTCGAACTAGCAAAAAATCAATATTATAAGTTTTGTAGAAATAGTAGACTCAAATCAAAAACCATTTCAAGATTTCAATATTAAAAACAATAGTTTTTATCATTTTTTCTTTGACTTTATTGGAGCAAATAAAGCTTATTAAGACGTGTTTTTAAAATGGTTTTTATGCTTTCAGATGGACAATCATTCATCGAGCGTGGCTTCAGTATTAATGAATAACTTTTTGTTTAAAATCTTAAAGAAAAATCCCTTATTTTCCTTACGCCTTATTAAAGATCACTTTTCTTCTTTTGAAGAATCCCCTGATAGTATTAAAATTAATAAAGAAAAGCTGCAAAATATAAAACAGGCAACTGTTCAATATAAAGAGTATTTGCAATCACATAGAGAAGAAAAAGAATGCAACAGTAGAAATTTAAAACAAAAAATTCTGGAATATCAGGAATCTGGCAAAGTGAAATAACTACTATGATAGAACAGTCTGATATGCTAGCCATAAATGCAGAAAAGCAAAGTAGTTTTGTTCTTTTGAAAGAATCAAATAAAAATAATTCTTTAGAATACGTTTTTGAAATTACTTAGCTTATAGTTTATATTAATATTAAATAAAATTAAACAACCGTTGTTTAGAGATATTAAAAGTAACAAAATGCCTCTTCAATATTTGGCAATTATTTCATCTGTGAGAGAAAATCGATTAGCCAACAAAATGGTTGCCCTACTAAAGACTCAGTTTGAAAAAGAAATGACACCTGGAAATGACACCTAAAGGTCATGTTCTTAAGATTCTAGGTATTATTTTAATACTTTTAATCCCAATTATTAGTTTTCAAGTTATCTAATTTTTTTTTTCAATTGTTGTTTTTAGTTATTAAGTATTGTTATAATATTTTAATTAAGTTTGTAAAAAATCATTCAATTATTTAAATTCTTAAATTTAAGAAACATTTTTATATTTAATTATTCTTACTGACTTTTTAGATTCTGAAAACTATGATTTACCATTGCTAAAAAAACCATTGCATTTTTATGGCCCTGATGAGAAATCAAAGATTCCAGATAAGCAATTGAGTTTAAATAAACTTGTTAAAGCTGCTGATGTTTATATTATTCTTCTTCCTGAATATAACAGATGTGGCCCACCTGCTTTATACAACACTTTAGACCATTTACCACCAGCAAGGTTGTTTTTAAAAATAGTTTTTAATCTGTTATTTCAATAGGTAATGTATGTTCAATAAATATCATACAATAATATTATACTTAATATATTTCAATTTCTCATATCTTAATGACATAATTTTTTTTTTTATAATGAATGTCACACTTTAGTTGGTTGTTTTAATGCATAAACATTTAAGAGTGACAAATATAAAGCTACAAAAATCTTAATACATACTTTTTAAACTTATCTTTCATTAAATTTTATTTGTATATCTGTCATCACCAAATTGTGAGCACAATTTGGTGATGACAGATATACAAATAAAATTTAATGAAAGATAAGTTTAAAAAGTATGTATTAAGATTTTTGTAGCTTTATATTTGTCACTCTTAAATGTTTATGCATTGAAACAATCAACTAAAGTGTGACATTCATTATAAAAAAAAAAACTATGTCATTAAGATATGAGAAATTGAAATATATTAAGTATAATTTTTAATAATAAGTTTTTTACTTATTTTTGCGGCAAATTGAAAGCATGAAAAATGAGTTGTACTAATTTTATGCAAAAAAAAAAAGAAAAAAAAAAAGAAAAACTAATTAAACCGTTTTCAATTCTAAATAATCGCACAATTAATCCAGCACAAAATAATAATAGCACTATTATTATTTTGTGCTGGATTAATTGTGCGATTATTTAGAATTGAAAACGGTTTAATTAGTTTTTCTTTTTTTTTTTCTTTTTTTTTTTGCATAAAATTAGTACAACTCATTTTTCATGCTTTCAATTTGCCGCCAAAATAAGTAAAAAATTTATTATTTAAATTGTAAATGTAGTCAAAAATAAAATTTAAAATCTATATTAGTGTATGTCTTTAAAAATGCATTTGAGGGAGGAATATATTTTGTGAGTTTTTATCTCTCATTCTCTAATGTGTCACTGTTTTATAAAAATGTTACGTTTATCAACAATTGCACAAAATTATTGCAGCAATGAAACTAAGAAACTACAAACAAGTCTGCATTATAAAAAAAATTAAGATTACATTTGTAAAAAAAAAATAGAAGCATTTTTTTAGTTTTAATAATATTCTTACCGGACTGTTTGAAAATTCTACATCACAATAAATATTTGTCAAAATGATTAAAATCTGACAGAAATAACTTACAAGCAAACAAAACAAATAAAAACTTGATTAGTAATAAATATTTTAGTTGTAAATTTATATATTTTTAATGATTATATTTAGCTTTTTTATAATAAGGTTGAACAATTTTCTTTTAATTGAAATGGATTTAGTTATCAAGCTGAACTTGATGAGATTTGCTAAGCATTTTTTCAAAATTTTTTTGATTTATTTATTTGATATTTTTTCAAAATATTTATTTAAATGTGAATTATTTATTTGATAATATCAAAATATTTAGCAAATTTTATCAAGTTTAACTAAAAATATTTTTAGAAATAATTTTCTAATATACAATTGGTATGTTAAGTATGCTTTGCAACATCTGATCAATACATGTATAATTATAAGTCTTGCAATATCTGATAAAAACATGTATGCCTTTTAGTATGCTCCACAACATCTGATTAATACATGTTTCAATAATATCATGTTTGATTTTATTTCATTACTTGCAACATCTGATCAATATATGTCAATGGTTTCAGTAATATCTTATCTGATTTTATTTCATTATTTAATTCATTTGGTAACAGAATTTATTTTATTATGATTGCAGTAGTAAAAATTTTGAAATTTTAAAAAATTGGATTTGAAAACAAAATAACTGAATATTAATTGTAGCCTTACTACTGACTAAATTTGAAAGAGTCACCATTAAATTTGAAAGAGTTTTTTTTTTTTTTTTTTTTTTTATTTAATTTACCTCCTCAAGGCCAAGAAGGCCACTACAGACGAGGAGGCTACTTATTTGTGGTTATAACCCTCTCTCAACTCTATAACTCCGAAACACAAACCTTGATGAACAAGGCCGCTGCGCGGAGAAACAAGTTGAGCGCGGTACTACCAGGGATGTGGTGGGGGTCGAACTCGGTACCACTCATTTATGAAGCGAGCGCTCTACCACTACACCACTACCACATAATTATTAATACCGCAAGTTATCATTAAATTTGAAAGAGTTATCATTAAATTTGAAAGAGTTATCATTAAATTTGAAAGAGTTATCATTAAATTTGAAAGAGTTATCATTAAATTTGAAAGAGTTATCATTAAATTTCAAAGAGTTATCATTAAATTTCAAAGAGTTATCATTAAATTTCAAAGAGTTATCATTAAATTTCAAAGAGTTATCATTAAATTTCAAAGAGTTATCATTAAATTTCAAAGAGTTATCATTAAATTTCAAAGAGTTATCATTAAATTTCAAAGAGTTATCATTAAATTTCAAAGAGTTATCATTAAATTTCAAAGAGTTATCATTAAATTTCAAAGAGTTATCATTAAATTTCAAAGAGTTATCATTAAATTCTTCTATAAGATCAGTTGTAGTGTGACTAAGAGTTTTTTTTTATTACCAATTTAATAAAAAAAAATTCTTACAGTTGCTTAACATTTTAAAATATTGAAAATCTAAAACTGCATATTTGTACAATGTGTCGATGTATGTGTCTTAAAAATAACTTCGAGTTTATCAAGTTTCTTTAGCAGTTTTATAAATATTTAACTTTTCTTTATTTGGCGTTTTGTTTTTATTTGTTTTAAAAGTTTAAATATCATTTTATTATTTATAGTTTTGCATACAAATCCAGTGGAATTTTTGGATATTCTATGGGACCTTCTGGTGCTGCTTTTGCAACAGCATCTGTGCGACCTTTGTTAACTGAATTAGGTTGCTTACCAGTCTCTCATAGCGTACAAATTCAAGCAGTAAGTTTCTGGAAATTTGAATATTTAGTTTAAAAACAATTAAAAAAAAATGATTATTTAGTTTAAAAGTAATATTTTATATATAAACAATTCAAATGGTTTCACGTGATCAATTTCTAAATTTAAAATAAATAGTAATATGTTAGTTAAATTTATAAATTATTTTAGGCTCATACAGTTGTCAATGGTGACGGAAGTACTGAAAACTCACAGATATTAAGTAGTCTTAAAACTTTATTTCAACAAACAGAATGGTGGGGAGAAGAAGCAAAAGTAGGGAGAACAAAAGGAACACCTGCCTAAAATTTAACAATAATACTTACATACTGTATTTATTTAAAGCAATATTTATTTGTAATATATTTATCTCAGTTAAAATTTTGTATTGTTTAAAGACAATCTATTGTTTTAATTTTATCAACTATGCAAAGCAAGAGAATTTATTGAACCTTAGTAAATGTAGTAAAAAATGGTTACTACACTTTAACAATCAAAAATGCAAAATTATGTATATAGGGAAAAAAAAACCTCGCTATAATTATTATATGATCCAACCAACGAGCAATGAAAATCATTATACTATGATAAAACATCTTGGAGCAAGAGTTAGGATTCCTAATATCTAATGATATAAAATAGAAAGATCATATAGATATGATGGAAAGAAAAGCAAATGGAATGCTTGGTCAAATAAAACATTGTTTTATATACTTAGATCAAGACCTAATGAAACTGCTGTATTGTTCGTTAGTTTAATGAAACTGCTGTATTGTTCGATATAATAGAATATTATTGTTATAATATTCTATTATATCGCTCCTGCGGAGCGATATAATAGAATATTATAGCATTAAAAGTGATATTCATAAAGTAAATCGGAGATACCCTCTAATAAACAACTTATATCCAAAATTAAGAGATCATAATCAACGGTTGTACAAACCAAATGTTCGTATTTCGGAAGCAAGAACGCATTACTTTCCTAATAGTTAATAAATGGAGCAGCCTAACCTATGACGTTGTTAACTGTTAATTTAAATACTTTTTATAATATACTCGAGAAACATAAGAAGAGTAATTATTTTGTTGTATTTCATTAGTATTTTTCCTTAGTATTTTGTAACGAATTTCATTAGTATTTTTCATTTTACTGTTAAAGTCACGCAACTACAGTTGAGCGACTCACATATTTTCATATGTACATTTAATATTATTATTGTTATATTATACTTAAACGTAATCTAAAAGATGCAGTTTTTAAATTTATCTTATGTTGTAATTTTCACTATATTAGTTTAAACCTCCGTCATTTAGAGAGCATTTACGTTTATTGGATCTTCAATGATTCTCACAACTTTCTTAATTAAAGTATTATTTTTATTTATTTTTTCAGTTATTTATGTGCTTTAAAAAGCCTTATCCGTCAGGGTCCTTACGGTCTAAGAACTTAATCCTTATGTTCTAATTACTTAGTCTTTATTCCTTACGGTCTTAATGATTGAGGTTTAAATTAATGTAGTAATAATTACAACATAATGGAACTTTAAATACTTTATCCTCTTGATTACGTTAAAATATAAAGTATAAAAATAAAAAGAAAGACCTTTCTTACCAATTTAAATATACAGCCAGAACCGGTTTCAAACCACAGATCCAGTTCTGAACCCAAAATATTAACCACTACATTACTGCTGCTATTATAATTGCCCTTAAACATGAAGGTTTTATTTATTTATTACCCAAAACCAATTATGCGACAATTTTTTGACAGCTTAACTACAGTCAAATTAATCCAACTATTTTCCAAACTTATCTTGTTGTGACAAATACTTTTATTTGCCACAACAATTTGTTAAAATTTGTGCATTTTCCAATACAATGTTTTTAAAAAAAAAATCCAAGTTTGTAAACTTCATGAGTCCAGTTGGGAAGATTAAGCTTGCAAAAATTGTTACAATATTTATTGCTTTAAACCTTTGAAATTTAGCAATCAAAACTTTGAAATGAAAACCTTGATAATTAATAAAGTAATAAAGACATAAAACAAAATTAAGCACAACTCGCTAGAAATCAATTCATTTGAGGTACGTAGATAATAAGCTACACACAATTTACCAATAAAAGTAAAACTGTCTACAAAAAATATTAAACAGTCATCATTATGCAATTATAAATACCAATAAATTAGAAGATGAAAACAAAAGATTAAATTTTATAAATGATCAAACACTGGTAATTATGATTTTAACTTACATATAAATAAAGCATTTACAAGTATTCAGTTCAAAAACAATTTAAATTACAACCCAAAACTCTTGTGAGGCATATTTTATTAATCAAAAGTTTTCTGTTTGCTCTTAAAACTTGCTAATTAAAAAAATTGATTTCTCATTAAGAAATTGTATCTATTAGATGTGTTTGCTGAACAAATACATCTAATAAATGAAAAGAAAAAATTACAAAACCTTTTAAACATTGTTATAAAAATGATATTCAAATAATGAAATAATCTCATCTAAAAATTAAAGCAACAATGCCAAATTATATTATATAAATCACCCAATATTATCATAAATCACTTTTAAAAATTTTTGGAAAGCAGGTTTACAAAATAGTTTTTAAATATAGGGTAAATCTACAATGTTTGTTATCCTCACGCACCAAATCAAAACTACAATCAAACAGATATCCTGACGTATACCTAATAAAATGCGAGTGTGAACGAAAATAAATTAATGAAAAAAAAAGAGTATAACGACAAGAATGAAACAACACCAAAAATATATGCTAGAGTAAAATCGAACCGATCTGCAATTGGACAGCATAAAATCAAATGTCCATGAAATATAAAATGGAGCAGGTAAAAACTTTGAGAACCTAAATATTCTCAAAGAAAAATTCGAGAGTTAATTGAAATTCAATATAACGAATGCAGACCTACGGAAGTATAAATATAGATGATGTAGGATTACATAAAAATTTGGATTCCACACAGCGTGCCAAGAGCATAAAAAAATTCATTGTTTTGACTTTTTATCTTTTAATTTAAAAGAGTAACTTTATATTGTGTAGAACATAGGTAGGTAAGTGCAAAAAAAAATATTTGAAATTCATAAAATCATTTTGTTTTTGTTCCTGTTTGAAGTTAAAGAAAAGATAATGAAGTTTGAAGTTGAAAATAAAGATAAATATTTATCTTGAAACTGCACTAATACTGTTTTTTAACAATAACTTTGAAATGCTATACAATGAAAATTACTCTATGAATTTAAAAGATATATTTTATTCTGATCTGGAAGTGATAATTAATTAGTGAATTATTTAAAGAACAAGAAAAAACTGAAGTATAAACATATACTTTGTGTAAATTCTAAACTATGTGAATATATATTACTTTGATTAAAAAAAAAAGGATTGAAAAGAAAGACCGTAGAAGGCCGAAAATAAACTCAGTTGTTTTATAAAACATAGACTTTCTAGCTTCATATGTAAAAAATCCACAGGTTGTCCCTGCAAATTGAGTATTTTAAATTCAAACTTAAATTGTTCTTACGTGTTGATATTCGAGGTTGCGTGGTTCAGAAAATGAACTTTTACGGTCGACACAAGCTATCAACCTATTGATAGCTTGTGTCAACCTATTGATAGCTTGTGTCAACCTATTGATAGCTTGTGTCAACCTATTGATAGCTTGTGTCAACCTATTGATAGCTTGTGTCAACCTATTGATAGCTTGTGTCAACCTATTGATAGCTTGTGTCAACCTATTGATAGCTTGTGTCAACCTATTGATAGCTTGTGTCAACCTATTGATAGCTTGTGTCAACCTATTGATAGCTTGTGTCAACCTATTGATAGCTTGTGTCAACCTATTGATAGCTTGTGTCAACCTATTGATAGCTTGTGTCAACCTATTGATAGCTTGTGTCAACCTATTGATAGCTTGTGTCAAAATATTTCTGATAAAAAAAAAGAGAGCTAGAATGAATTTACGTAACTTTGAAAATCAGATAAAGTTCATTGAAAAAATTAAAGCTAATTCTAATAGCAGTCTAAGTGAGATATAATCTAACTTTCGAAGATGAAAAAGAAAACATCAAAAAAATTTTTGAAGCAAATTGAACAATAAATACAAAAAATATTGAAAGTTAAAGTAAAATAAACTTGTGACCGAAATGTAAAACATTGAGAAAAAAAGTCGGGATAAAACTGCCCGGTAATCCACCAGCAGCAAGATCATCATCCATGGATGGTATAGAAGAAGAGAAAGCTACACAGACTAAAAGAAGACACAATTCAAAAAGATTAAGGTAAAAATTAAGTTGTTGACATTTACTTGAATATTTTAAGTATCGTGTTATTTGGGACACCGTGTACTTTTTTACTTTTTACAATACACTATCAGTTTTCTGATCTTCAAGATGTAAACTTAATGGGAACAAATAGTATCGTCTAAAAACGAAACTCAGTCTCTTCTTTTAGAAAATGGTTTACATATATTTGTAAAAACAGAGATGAGTATGGTTGATGGCAAAATGGTAGATTATAAGTAGATGATTCTGGAGCTTTTTTCCACTATTGCAATTGTTCTAGAAGTGATGCCAATGACCTAGTATGTATTATATGTTTATCATTGATAAAAACTTATAAATTCCCTTATAAAACCCTTCTCCTTTCCCCATTGTTGCTCTATTCCCTGGGTCTGAGTGCACACACGTAAAATTTAACCTCAGAATCAGATTCTTTGCGCTATATCTTTCATACAACGTACCCAAAAAAAAGCCACTTTGAAGCAAACTTTAGGGAAAAAGTGACATTGCGGTTTTGTGGCGTTAAAATAATAGAGTTTTGTCTCCATTTTATAATGTTGAGAGATTTTTAAAAAAGTGTTGCATTCTCTTAAATTTTTAAAATCGTAAAACAAAATGTGTTAAATTCGTTAAATTTAAAGATTTAAAAATCAAATTTTGGTCGCTCAGAACACACATTTAATTTTCATTGATTAATATAAATATCATAGTTGTTTATCAATTAATTTGATAATTGGTATAAGACAAAAAAATAAGCATATAGTGACGTGAGAATTATAAGCTTCTATCTCCGATCTTTCATGTTAAGAAAATGTAACTCTTCTTTTTAATGTTATTCTTTTCATTTCTAATATTATTCTTATGTTCATAATTATTTTACTTTAATATATTAATCTTATTATCATTTTTTATTAATTTTTTTGTTTTTGTATATTTCAAATTTAAAGTTGGAATTAATAGTTATTTTTTAAACAAACAGCTTTAATAATTATATAAATTCAATAGAAGGTTATTTATAGAGCTTAATGCTAAAGTACTTAATGCTAAAGTCACAAAAAAAAT